GCTCAGCAAAGAGATAAAATTGTGTTTATTGCTCTCTCTCAATATTGCCTGCAGACATGGTTTAGCAACGCAAAAAAACTGGATTTTTACGCCTATTTTGAATTTTAGTCGAATACGAATACAAATACAAATACTTTTCCCCCCTCAACAAATACAAATACAGATACAAATACCGGCTGCTTTGCACACCCCTATTTGGAGTATAGCATTACTCTGTCCTGATTATGGTGTTACTCTGTCCTAATTACAGTGTTACTCAATCCTGTTTATACTGTTACTCTCTCCTGATTTCAGTGTTCTACTTTGTACAGATTATAGCATTACTGGATCCTGATTATAGCATTACTCTCTCCTGATTATGGTGTTATTCTGTCCAGATTATAGCATTAGTTTGTCCTGACCATAGTGTTAGTTTGTCTTGATTACAATATTACTCTTTTCTGATTACAGTGTTACTCTGCCCTGTTCCCAAAACTAGTGAAAACACAAGAGCTTAACTGTAACTAGATTGATTTTCATAATAATGGATGTTTGGATAAACTGAGCCTCCAGGTATACAATCAAATAGATGACTGCAGATTACTATTTCTTGTATAAAAGCTAAGTTCAATAACAAGTAGGGAACAAATTATAGCACATGAAAAAATCAAAGGCAAGATGACCATACATTTTTTCCAACAATGCTCTGCAAAAAAAATATTAACTTTCTGGCTACTTACACCTTCTGTCTTTGTTATTCCCTTTCCCAAATGTGACAGTATTTTAATTGCATTGTGGTTGCAGTGTCTTGCTCCCTCAGTGTAATGTGTTGTATCCATTCAGGAAATGGTGGGTTGCAGTATGGAGCTCAACCACTTGTATCTGATGTAAAAACAGCTGGAAAATATGGTGAGCTCTTATTGTAATGTTTGTCTATGACTATTATAATCGAATTATAATAATTATAATAATATAATTATTATCTATCTATCTATCTATCTATCTATCTATCTATCTATCTATCTATCTATCTATCTCACAGGTAACACTGGTTTGCCGTACAGTGGCCAGCCCCTCGGTTTGGGGGCTGATGGGAAATCACCCAGCACATATGGTGAGCCTCGCCCTTCATCTTTTCAGTCTCTAGCAGGCATTTTTCTCACTCTCCCACCCCTCACAGGGAATGCTGGCCTGCCATACTACCTACAGCCGCTTGGCCTTGGGACTGATGTGAAATCTGCAGCAAAATACGGTAAAGTGCACCAGTCTGCTTGCTGATGTGTCTGTTTTTGTTTCTGTGCCTTACTTTGATTAGTGATGTATATATGGCTCAGTAAGGCAGGAAATACCAGTTATACTGTTATACTAGCGTCTGATGGAAAATCAGCTTTGAAATATTTAGCATGTATTTACTTAGCAGAGACTTTTATCCAGAGCGATATACAAATGAGGAAGCAGGGTCAGTGAGTGTTCCTGGAGAAACTGGGATTAACGGCTTTGCTGAAGCAACCAACAGGAATACCACTCTGCCAGTTAAAGGATCTGAACCTACAACCTTCTGGTCGTGAGCACAGAGTCCTACCTGGCAGAGCCACACCCAAATACAGGGGCGCCAACCTATGACTATATTTTTTTCCAAATCATTCTAAATGGTATTTTTTCACTTTATCTCAGGAAACAGCGGTTTGACAACCCAGCCATTTGGATCGGAAGCAGATGGAAGGTCTGCTCTTAAATATGGTACGTTCCATGTCTGTTTTTCTGAATGGAATCTGGTTGTGTTTCCACTTTCTTCCAGTCTGTCATACACATGAATACACGGGTCTCATATGATGGCAGTTTGATGGCAAAAACAATGTTTATGTTATTATAGAGACCTATAAACGCATTCAGCAGATGGTACTCCCCTGGCAATTTCTCTGTCATACAGACACCTACAAGAAAGCAGATGACATGTAAAAAGGTCAAATAGCATAATTGAAAAAAAAAAACAAAATGCCAAATCGGTAAGATATATTCATGCAGTTATTCAGATTAATATGGTTTGGTGCCAGCTGGCAGAATGAGCTGAATGACATAACCAGCCAACCACATTGAAATATTTTGGAATAAGAACATAAGAACATAAGAAATTTACAAACGAGAGGAGGCCATTCGGCCCATCAAGCTCGTTTAGGGAGAACTTAACTAATAGCTCAGAGTTGTTAAAATCTTATCTAGCTCCATCTAGCATGGAATGCGGTATAAAATTAAATAATTGCATTTACATTTCATCTTTTACTGGTCTTTAGTTAATTCTCTTTTGTTGTATCACTTATTAAATCTTAGCCAGTCTTCATGCATCCTGTCTCTGGCTTCTTTACTAGATTTGTTTTAAAATGTGTTTCTTCATCTCTTACCGTCCTGGTCCACGCATTGTGCATGGCTGCATACTGTACCATTCCTCCCTTATTGTGTTTATTTCTCTCTTCTCCTTCTGTATGACTTCTCACGCCGCCATCCAACCTTATTTGCGACACCTCCATGTATTCCTGCCGTAATAATTTCTCATGTCTCATTCTTCTGTCCTATCCATCTTCAACATACTATCTCCCATCATCCCATGCACCTTCCAGCCCCTTAACATCTGCAGATGTCCCCTTACCTACCCCAGTCCCCATAGATCCCTCTTATTCCCCTGGAATTTCCCCATCTCCTACTGTTGCTGTAACACCCAGCGCTGTCTCATCCTCCTCAGTAACCTCTCTGCTAGGTTCTGAGCTCCCATCTGCCTCCATGCTGCCCCTCACCACTGCCAGCCCCTCCCTCCCAGCTGCAGCTGCTCCAATGCAACCCCCGCTGCCTGTGCAGGTTGGCCTGCTTGAAATTCCGCAGCCTAAGCGCCATCCAATAAGCCCCCCCACACTGTATGTTCATGTGGGGGATAAAGTAAAGATAGGTAACCTGTGAAGAAGGCATAGGAAGACACCCCAGCATGGTGGGGAAGGGGTTCCAGGCAGGGTTTAAATATAAATGGAGCCCAGCCCCACTTCCTTATGTCTAAATCGCACCTTGCCAGAGCACAGCTCTACCTCCTTCAACATTAACTTTTTTTTTGAATGCCCCAAAATTTAGTAAAAGATTCACAGTTGAATGACTTAATAAAAAGTCAGTTTTGCATTAAGAATCATGTTTTTTTTCATCAGCTTTAATCATTTTCATTAGTAGCTCTTTCTTGGGTGGATAAGATATTCCTCCATGATGCCTTGAGTTCTGTTGTGTGTTTTTGTATTTTGGCTTATTTTGTTTACTGTACGACTAGCAAAACTTCACTTACAAGCTAGACTCTGCTAGAGGTAAGGCCTGTGTAAGAACTTCTAGAAGCAATCCATGAATTACTTGATATTTTAATGCATTTTTACAAGGACATTGCAAATGAATAAGCAAGATTTAGTATCGTTTTAAAGTTGTAACACAACATGCCAATAAATGAACACACTGCATCTTGTGGATTGTGATCATAAATACATGTGATAATACAGTAATGTACTGAGTGGCTTATTCAGGACCCTCCACCCCCATCTGACAGACCTCTGATTCAGATTTAATCCTGCAGGGTAGGAAATAGGGCCAAAAAAATCTGTGATTAAGGGAAGGTAAAGTATACCAGGTGCTGATGGAAGATTATGGGGTGGCTGAGGGAGGACAAGGAAAAAAAATGCTTAAAAACACCAGGACCCTGTCAAGGGCACATGACTGAATGTTAAAACTGTTGATCACTACATCACAATTAACAGAATCAGAAGCATTGCTAAAAAATAGAATTTTCAAGACAAACAGAACCCTGAGAAATATCTGTATCCTCAGACATATCAGTATGTTTCTCTGTTATGCAAGACACAATGAAGTGAAAGTTTATTCGGAATTTCTCATTGCATTTTCTGCTGGATTTCCAAGGAGATGCTGTTAAATCACAGAGATCCCTATGAAGGATTAAGCTGCCAAAATGGTTTTGGGAATAGCTGGTTATTTGCTGGCTTTCATTTTGCTTTGCATCTCCACACTAACAACTGATCCCTCGTCAGTCAACACACTCAATGTGATTAAGCATTTGCAGAGATGCTTTCCTGATAAGGGTGGAAAACTGTACTTCAGCAGTTTCTCAGAGTTGGGAACAAGCAAAAATGTGAAATGCCTGTGGGTCCCGAAGGACCCTGCCCTAAGGAAACTGCCCTATGGACATTGCCCTAAGGACACCGCCCTAAAGCATTCTTTGTTCATTGGTTCCATAAGCAGCACAGGTCTAATTATTCAATTTTGGACTAATCTTTAGGTAGCTGCCTGAGAGTTAGACTGTAAATAAATGCAATGAAAGGCAAAATTAGACTCACCAAGACAAATGTAGAAAGGAAGATTGCATTGAAGGCTAAGGATGACATGAAAAGTTTCTTCCAATATTTTAACTCCAAAATAGCTCTAAAAGCTGAAATCACTAATTTGCAGGATAGTAAGGGCCTTATAATTGAAAATGGGTTTAATGATTATTTTACACGGGTGTTCACAGTAGACCACCATTTAGTACAAATACAGCATTGTCTATGACCAATATATGTATAATAATACTTCATTGATGCCTGTGGAGAAATTGTCTTTATGCCTCCCTGAACTTGCTCTTTGTAGAGTAAGCTGTTTGCAAAGGGCAGCCACCTGTTGGGACTGCTCAGGGAGGTGGGGGTTATGGGCCTTGCTTCAGAACCTGCAGATAGGCTGAGGCTGGGTTTGAAACTGTTCTGAGGGATAGCCAACATAGATTTAGGAGAGGTAAATCCTGTTTAACTAATTTACTTGAGTTTTTGAGGAAGCTACAAGAGAAATTGACCACAAAAAGGCCTACGATGTGAACACACACACACACACACACACACACACAATGTGTTAGTTTTTCTTGATTGCTTTGGCACATTTCATGAAACACGCTTAACATCCTCACAAGTATAAGAGCAGTAAAGTTAAGCTGCAAAAAGGTCATAACACGCAAAACAATTAACTCATGTCCCAATAGCAAATAATTCTCTTGCTGAGTGTGAAGCTGTTTTCGTTGTCCCGAAATCTACTATGGGAATTTGATCACAAAAAGGCCTATGATATGATCTACTTAGATTTCCAGAAGGCCTTTGATATTGTTCCCCACAAATGGCTCTTGTTTAAGCTCAAAGCTGCAGGAATGTTAGGAACTGCAGCAGCAACTGGTTTACAGGCAGGAAGCAACGAGTAGTTATTAGAGGCAGAATGTCACAGTGGGTCTGCGTTTATAGTGGGGTACCGCAGGGTTCAGTTTTAGGACCACTATTGTTCCTAATTTACATTTACAGCAGTTCACAGGAATGTCACAGGTTGGTAACGAACTCACACCTCCGTTACCAACCTGTGACATTCCTATGAACTACTGGGCAGTGTCTGCTGATGGGTCTGCTGATGGAACAGCCATCAAACCCACACCTCCTTTGCCAACCGGTGACATTCCACTGCAAACTCCCCCCTCCCCCCCACCACTGCTACCAGACTCTGCAAGTGTCCCCTCACCCCCCACTATTACTGTAGACCAGGTAATGAGAGAGTTGAAGAGGCTGAAACCGAAAGCTGCTGGGCCAGATGGCATCTGTGCAAGATTGCTGTGCTGCGGAACTGGGGGAGCCACTCCAACATGTCTTCAAGTTGAGTCTGTGTCTGGGGAGGGTAACTACACTATGGAAAACATCATGCCTGGTACCGGTTCCCAAGAAGCAACACCCCAAAGAACTCAACGACTTTAGGCCTGTTGCCCTCACCTCACACGTAATGAAGACCCCTGAGCAGCTGCTGCTCCACCTCCTCCTAAGACCCCAGGTTTGCCATGCGCTTGACCCCATACAGTTTGCTTACCAGGAGAATGTGCAAGTGGAGGATGCCATCCTCTATCTGCTACACAGGCTGTACTCTCACTTGGACAATGGAGGCAGTGCTGTGAGAATCATGTTTTTTGATTTCTCCAGTGCTTTCAACACCATCCAGCCCCTTCTTTTGAGAGACAAACTGCTGCAGATGAGAGTGGACCCAAGCCTGGTGACCTGGATTACTGATTACCTCACTGAGTGGCCCCAGTTTGTTACACTGGGGGACATCACATCTGGGGCTGTGGTCAGCAGCACTGGGGTGCCACAGGGAACTGTTCTCTCTCCTGTACTGTTTGCCTTGTACACCACGGACTTCAAGTACAACTCTGAGTCGTGCCATATGCAGAAGTTCTCTGATGACACTGCAATTGTAGGCTGTATCAAGGATGGGCAGGAGGCTGAGTACAGGAGCCTTGTGGAGGACTTTGTGGGATGGTGTGGAACCAACCAGCTGCAGCTGAACATCACCAAAACCAAGGAAATGGTGGTGGACTTCAGGAGGTCTGCCCCTCCATTGCCGTCTGTCACCATCGACGGGGTGAATGTGGAGACTGTCAGTACATACAAGTACCTGGGGGTTCACCTGGACAATAAACTGGACTGGTCTGCCAATACTGAAGCACTTTACAAGAAAGGACAGAACAGGCTCTACTTCCTTAGGAAGCTGGGGTCCTTCAGTGTCTGCAGCAAACTCCTGCTTATGTTCTACCAGTCTGTCATGGCCAGTGTCCTTTTCTATGCTGTGGTATGTTGGGGAGGCAGCACTAGGAAGAGGGATGATGGACGACTGGACAGGCTGGTGAGAAAAGCAGCTCTGTGGTGGGCATGGAGCTGGAGTCACTGACATCAGCTGCAGATAGGAGGACCCTGAGCAAACTGCTCTCAATACTGGACAATGACCGTCACCCTCTGCACACCACTTTCTCCAAACAGAGGAGCATGTTCAGTGATAGGCTCCTGTCTCTGTCATGCAGAACAGACAGGCTCAGAAGGTCCTTTGTCCCTAGGTCCATACAGCTCTTCAACGTCACATGGAAGGGGAGGAGTGTGATGGACTTAAGTGTTTAGGCCTGTATAGCACACTGCCCTCCTGTAATTTTCCTTTGTACTGTTGCAGTATGTATGTGTGCGTGAATGTCATAGGTCTGTGCGCCTATGTGTATGTATACTGTGTATAAGCTACTGGACACCTAAATTTCCTTCTGGATAAATGAAGTATCTCTCTCTCTCTCTCTCTCTCTCTCTCTCTCTCTCTCTCTCTCT